CCCTTCTTTGTTTCTTTTCTCCTTTCCCTAGTAATTTATTTCCCTTTCACAATATCTATTGTACCTTTTGATTTTATTTCCTCTTTCAGTTTCTTACAGTAGGGATATTATACAATGTTTATGCATGTGCTTCTGATTTATTTCATTTATGAGGATGGTCTCTAGTTGCATCTATTTACCTATAAAAGTCTCAAGTTTATCTTTTTTATAGCTAAGTGATACTCCATTGTGTAAAAATACCACATCTTTTACCCATTCCTCAAAAACTCCCCCAGAAGACTTGCAGATTTAATAAACAGCTTTGGTAGTGATACAAAGTCAACCCTTCACAATCAATAGTCTTCCTGTCCACAAACAACAAACGCACTGAGAGAGAAATTAGAGAAGCCTAACAGCATCCAAAAACCTAAAGCGTTATAATAGTACCCCTAAAAATGAAATACTTAATCAATGTAACAAAGGAAGTAAAAGATCTATATGGTGAAAATTACAGTACTCTGAAAAAAGAGGTAAAAGAAGATACCAGAAAGTAGAAAGCTATGCCCCAACTTTTAAGAGATTTGCACAAAACCATGGACACCTGTTTACTTGCTCCACCATTTTCTCTTCCTCCTAAAAAGATATCAATATGAATTCAAGCTGAATCTCCCCTGCTTTTTTGAGACAGGGTCTTGCTATGTGGTTCAGGCTGGCCTTGAACTCAGTGTGTAGGCCAAGCTGGCCTTGAGCTCTCAGTGATCTTCCTGTCTCAGCCTCCCATGTGCCAGGATTAAAGATGTGTACCATCATGCCTGGCTGTTTCCCATTCATTAGATATTTTATTTGCTTTAAAATCCTGCCTACTATGACATGAATATAGCTATTAATTATAATTTTTAATTTTATTTGATTGTGATCCTCAGTGAGTGCTGAGCTATATTCCCAACTCTTCATTCCCCAATTTTGTTTTGAGACCGAGCCATACTAAATAGCTTAGGTTGGTCTCGAATTAATAATCTTCCTGCCTCAGTCTCCAGAATAGCTACTGGGATCACGAGTGTGTGCTACCGTACCTGACCAATGTAAACATTATTCTTAACATTTTCTTGGGCTGGCCAGATAGCTCAGCAGATTAAATCACCTTCTTAGGCAGATGCAGGGATAGGGGTTGGATCCCTGGTGTGCCATGCCCCGCCCCTGGGACATACTGAAAGGGCAATTGAGACTGGGTGCGGTGGTGCATGCCTGTAATCCCAGTGCTTGGGAGGCAAAAAAAAAACAGGGGAATCACTATGAGTCCAATCTGTGTAGTGAGACCCCCTGTACTAAATACATTTTTAAAAATTTTTTCTTTTCTTTCTTTCTTTTTTTAATATATTTGATACAGGGACTCACTACACAGCTTGGACTCATAGTGATCCTCCTGTTTCAGCCTCTCCAGTACTGGGATTACAGGCGTGCACCACCACATCCCGTCTTGGTGGTAGGCTAGGTGCAGCCAGGGTGGGGCCAGCACAGCAAGTGGTACAAGAGATCAAACCCAGGTCCTTGCTCTTGCCTAGGCTGGTGCTTAGACTGCTGAGCTATTTCTGTAGCCCTATTTTCATTTCTGAGGTAGTGTTGCCCTAAATTGCCCAGGGTGTGTTTGAACTTGTGATCTTCTTGCTTCAGCCTCCTAAAGTCCTGGGATTATAGGCATCAACCACCAAAGTCAGCTATTATTCTACGTCTTAATTATAGATATCTTGATTTATTTCACTTTTATTCAGTTATAAGTATGAAAACTATTGAATTCTTAGGGGGAAACTGTCAAATATTCATCATTTTATGAGCCTAACATAATTATTATACATTTGATAAATTTTCCAGGCTTTTAAAAAATGTATTTCTATATGAGTTAGGTCTTGAGTGTTTCTTATTTTAATCAGCTTTCTTTCAGTGAACATTAGCAGATGAATTTGTTTCTTATGACAGCATAATATTCACAAGCTATCAGATCTAATTATGGCCTGTTTTTTAGATTGTTGCATCGTAGTTTACTTTTGAAATTTTTGGTGGTTTTGTTTGCTTGATTATACACTCATTTGGTTTTACAATCACAATAAAATAGTGCTGTAGCAAGCCTATAAGAGGGTATTAATATTTCTCCTTTTAGACTACATCACCGCACTAAATGTCTGAGTTTTATGCAGAAAGAGATTAGATGGTGAATCTTTCCACTATCTCATATTCATTTTGAAAAAAAATACTTTTTCACAATGCTTGTGAAAATGGGTTTTATTATTTTTTTAAATTTTATTTATTTATGGGGGGGCAGCTCAGCCCACCAGGGGGCGGGGCTGGCTGGCATGTGGTGCTGGGGGATTGAACCGCGGTCCCTGTGCTTTGCTAAGCTTGGTCTAAATAGGTGCTTTAGACCACTGAGCCATCTCACCAGCCCCTGAAAATGGGTTTTAAAGCTGACCCAAAAAAAAAAAACAATGAAGACTCTCCTCTCTCTGGCATAATTAACTTGGCAAATTATGAGAAAAATTAATACTCTTTTCTGTACTACAATAAAAGTTGCAGGTAAATGTGAAAGCATTCAGGACTAATAACATAGAACTAGAACTTTGCCTCCCAAGTAGGGAATGCATTTCCAGGCATAAATCCTGCAAATAAAATATTTTATATATTCAGTTAATCTGGAATCTCTAAAGCCAAAAAATTAGCAGGGAGAAAAGCCTTGTAGTTCTCCAACCTTATAGCCCCAAACTGTCCCAGTTAAATTTAAAGCAGCATAAATACAGTGCAGTAAAACCTTCATATACTGTACAATTAGTAATTATTCTCAGGATCTTGGCCTAAGACATTTTGTATTTTGCATACTAGCGAGCTGTGGCATCAGTTTAAGAATTCTTTTGAAATAAATTCTATAGTCTAATGAATCAAATATTAAAGGGCAAAAGAATTCTACTGATAACACAAATTAAAGCCATATATTTTGAATATCAGAACATAAAAACTCCAATGTTGTCATTATTAATAAGCTAAGTTTTAGCTTTTATCATCCTTTGTCTTCCTTTGAATTGAGGGACTGAACATGGACTGTGTCAGATTGTGCTAATTAAATGTTATGTTCTACAAATGAAGCAGTTTTATAGATCCCAAGTACAGTGAAAATATGTGTTTATAAAAGTGCATTTTGAGCATCCTGTATATGAAAAGAAGCCTTTTAAATTGACCCAACGGGAAGAAATCCAAGATTTGGCTGTCTGGAACACTGAATTTAATAATTTATAGTATGGATTTGGTTTTCCTTCACACACAACAATAAAAATGTTTGGACTGATAAAATAACTGCCCTTAGGGCTTTTATTAGCATGCCAACCAGGAGCATAGATCTTTGTCTTAGAAATGAACATAAGTCTCCAGATGGCCAATCACTGGAACTTTGTTCACACTGTGAATAAAGCACTTTGCCAGAAAGACATTAAAAAAAAATCAGTAGTGTTTGTACTGGGAATGTTTGGAAAACTATCAACTCATCCTGCACTTTGTGGATTACCCAGGGAAACTATTTAAAGCCAGATGGACTTTTCTGTGTCTCTAGTTAGCTTCTATGTTACTTGTCAATAAGGAATGTCTCTGGCTTGTATATTAGCATTATGAAGTCTATACAATATATCACTATTGACTGTCCTAAGTTCATGTCACACCCTCTTGTCCCTTTGTCTGTACGATTGTTCATATAGGCAATGAAGATGTGTTTTTAACTGCTCATGCAGGTCAATCATGCTAAGTAAACCCCAGGCTGTAAGAGTTTCCCATTTTCAGCTAATGAGATTATTAACTTTATAAATTGCAGGTAGTCTTCATGAGCCTATGCAAAAGTTTTTGGGACTGTGGACTCGTAGCCCTCGATGATATTACAGTGCAGTTGGGCAGCTGCTGGACTCCAGGTAAGAAGGCAGCTAGTTCCTGTTGGTCTCCCCAGCACATGTGTAACACTTCTAATTTCTCTAAGGGCCTCATGTACTTAATCTGTGCCAAGTTACCCTTTGCCATTCTTGACAGTAGAACTTCAATACACAGCTTTGCAGTAGGCTTCAAAATTTAGAAATGAGCCGGGGAGATGGCTCAGTAGAATAAGTACTTCCCTGGCAAATGCAAGGGCCTGAGTTCAATCCCCGGTTCCACCAAAAAAAAAAAAAAAAAAAAAAAAAATTAGAAATGATGATTACAAGGTACTCTGTGTCTTTGCACACATAATTTTAGGCTTTTTTTTGTAGCTGGTAGTAACACCCACCTGAATATTGTGGATAACACATACACATCCCCTCACATAGGATCTGGTACAAAATGGTGCTTTAAAAAAACTTCAATTTTAAGTATAATAGTTATCATTATTGTTAGCACCTTATAAAATGTAGTTGGGTGTGGTGACACATACATGTAATCACAGCCCTTGGGAGGATTTCAAGCCCAGCCTGGGCTACATAGAAGAACTTTTCTCAAAAACACCAAAACAAAGTAAAAATATATATATATTACCAAGGCCTTGGGGAGCATACCTCTAATCCCAGCAGGTAGAAAGCTGAGGCAGAAAGCTTGCCATGAGTTTAAGGCCAGCCTGGAATACACAGCAAGACCTTATCAAAAACAAACAAAGCATTTTTTCAAGTCATACTCATGAAATTATTATCTCACAGATATAAACACATAATTTTAAAATTTTAATAAAATAAATATTTTCTAATATGTTAAATAGCAATGAAACAGTAGACTAAGCATCAATGTAGTGACAAAATAAATTCATAGGAGTAAGCTGTGGGCACAGTCTCCTATGACAAAGTGATATGCACTTCAACCTAGATCACTACCCTGAATGTACTAATTACATTGCATCCTAAGCCATGAAATATCTATTTCTTCAAAAATAGAGAATTATGGTGTCAGTGTAGTACAGGAGAATAATATCCGTATGTATTTAATTGAAAGAAGTTCCCAGTAAGTTGAGGGGTATGGTGTAATGCAGAACATTGTAGTGCATGCCTCTAATCCCAGCACTCAGGAGGATGAGGTAGCAGGATCTCTGTGAGTTCAAAGCCAGCCTGCGCTACATGTCAAAGCCCTGCATCAAAAGAAAAAGAGAGAAAGAAGGGAAGAAAAAAAGAGAAAAAAAGGGGAACATTCTTCTAAAAAGAGTAGTTTTTTTTAAGTTATCCTTCTCTATAAAAATTTGTTAAAGTTATTAAAGACAGCATTCAGAGGGCCAGCCAAATAGCTCAGCAAATTAAAGCGCCTGCAAGCAGGCGCAGGGGCTGGGGTTCAATCTCTGGGCCTGCCATGCTGGCCCCGCCCCCAGGGCACACTGAGGGGGCAGTTGAGACTGGGCGTGGTGGCATGCTGCTGTAAACAGGAGGATCACTATGAGTGAGATTTAGTAGTGAGACCCTGAACATCCTGTAGACTCTTCCCTAACATATAAAAAAAAAGAAAGAAAAGAAAAGAAAATGGAAAATAGGATTCTAGCAGAATAACAACTCCCAATATTTGCCTGGCTAATAATTATTAAGAACTTGGTATTTAAATACTCTACATACATCATTTCATTTGATCCTTACAAGCTGCATTCCACACATATAAGGGCACTGCGGAGCACAGGAATTGAGTCCCTTGCTGCACACAGCCAAGTCTCCAGGCATCTATTGAGTTCTCGCTCATGTCTCCTCTCCTCCAAAACAGGTGTAGCATTGCTATGTGGCTATGCTTGGCTCATCCCAGATTTCTGAAGACAGCTCCTGCACGATGCAATGTGATCATTTTCCATGTTTTCATAAAGGCAGTACACCTCCAGCTTTCAGAGCTTTGCAAGCTCATTCACGCAAATATCTTTCCAAAGCAGGGAAAGTTTCTTCTTCACAGTATCCCAGTATAAAATCTAGATTTGTTATTGTTCTCTACCTCTATGGCAGAAGACAAGGCAGGCAGAGACTGCCGTTAGGAGCGGGGGTGGGAGCGTGGTGCACGTGGGCTACCCTGTGGTGGGGGCAGCTGTCTCTCTGTGGGTGACATGTGGCCAGACAACACTCAGACATGCGAAGCAGACTTCTGGGGAGTGTGGCGTGGCGTGCGGATTCACTGAAAGTCTCAGCAATTGCAGCACCTGCTGTTTCCTTGCAGAGAGCCTTCCAAGTCCACCTGGAGAATGCACTTTTGATCAAAATGAATGTGCCTTTACTCAGGAGAAAAGGAACCGGAGCAGCTGGCACAGGCGGCGAGGAGAAACTCCCACTTCCTACACAGGCCCAAAGGGCGATCACACTACTGGGGTAGGTGAGTCACACCACGTGGTGCCATCTCTTAAGGAACCCCCCCCCCAGCTGTATCCTCGGCTATTTGCTGCATTCTGAAATGTGGGAATTTATGCCTTGTGTTTAGAATGCACTACACATGCAGTTCTACTCACATAGGATATTGCATAGGTGAACTTAAAACCTCTCTATATATGTCTGCAAAGAATCTCTGAAAGTCTTGCACACATAGGCATGCAAAGATGATTTCATTAGAAATAGGGTTAAAACAAAACAAGGGGATGAAAGTGAAAAAAAAAAGATAATCTAAATTGGATTAAGGAACGAGGCATATATATTGAACGTACTGGCAAATGGAAGAAAAGCTACATGATTCTAATTGCAAGCTTTCTACAGCTAAATCAAAGATGAAAAACTCATCTCTGAAATATTATTCATGGCATGCTTAGGGTAAAAAGAGAGGCAGCAGTGCACTTGGAGTGTGAGCAGCCAGACAGTGCGTTCGATAGAAAATACATAAGCTAACAACAGAGTACTCTAAACATTGATCTTATTATTACCTCTGTCTTAGTTACTTTTCTCTTGTTACTGAGACAAAATAACAGGCATGCAAAATTAAGGAGGGAGAGATTTGTTTACCTCACAGTTTCTAGAGGTTCAGGCAGCGTAGCCTGGCAGAGGGGCACCGCGGGGAAGAAACAGTTCATGGTGGACAGAAGATAGCAAAGCAGGCAAGCAAAAGGGGCAAACAGGCCTCTTTCTGTCCTTCAAATTGTATCCAGGATTATTGCTCCCGGGATCAGGGTGGTGGCGAAACATTCAGTAGATTGATATAGTAACCACCCACCTTTAATCCTAGAGCGTTTAATCCTAGCATTGCACCATGAATCAGTTACACACTCTAGATTCAGCCATTTCTAAAAAAATTCCCAGCTCTGTCTGCATGCAGCTTTGGGTGGACATCTAGACACAAGCCACAACAATCTCCATTTATCAGCAAACAGAAACAACGTCACTGACAAATACACCACACAGGGTGGACCTTTCTCACTTTCCCTTCGTTCATTTGGTTTATCAGTTGAATCAAAGCACAATATTTAATCCAAAGTTTAGGATGCTAAGCATATAAAGATATATTTCCTCAGTGATCTTCATAGAAGAACCATTATGATCTTAAACATGAAGACAAGTTATACTATACTGTATCTTATGATTTATCTAGGTTAAGGGGGTTAATAAAATTCTGACCTTTTCTTAAAAATGTTAGGGTTAAGGTTAGAGTTAGGGTATGATATATATCACCTGTATGCGGAAGTGGCTAAACACAATAGGGTTCAATCACAAGGAGCTTTTTTTTTTCTTTCCATCCTTCTCTTCACTCATATTCTCAAGGTTCACCACCTCTTTCAAATGTCTTAGCTTTCCAGTCCTGTTGAGGTATTAAAATATTCCCACATCCAGGTACATTAAGGAATTCAGTTCACATCAAAACTGCTGTTTGGCATTCAATTGAATGTTCTCTCCTTCAGCTTGGGCTAACACTAGGGATGATCAAAGGAGAACTATTCTTTCTTTCTTTCTTTCTTGGAGGAACCAGGGATTGAACTCAGGCCCTTATGCTTACCAGGCAAGTGCTTATTCTACTGAGCCATCTCCCCAGCCCTTACTTTCTTTCTTTCTTTCTTTCTTCTTTCTTTCTTTCTTTCTTTCTCACCTCCCCCTTTGCCCTTCACCTTTGGAATCCTTCAGCCTGGGCAGGTAAGAGGAAATTAAGAGAATTTTGAAATATTTGATGCTATTTGAAATTCTCTCTTGGCTATTGACTGTCCTTTGTTATAACAGACAGCTAAACTCTGGGAACCTCCATGTCAATCATTTCTGGTTGACTCTCTGTGACCACCCTTTGGCCCTTGGTGCTCACACTACAGAGTTCTTGTATTCCAGAATTCCTCTTGAAAGCTTTAGCTAGGGTTCTTTGAAGAGCTTTTGGTTGCAGCCCCCTTCCTGGTGTGTGTCCATTTGGCCTCAGATATTAATGACTATTAATGTAGCCTTGTCCTGTGCTGACCTCTCTTGTACTCTCACTGCCTCAGCAGATGATGAAATATTGTTGCTTTAGTAAAAGATTTTGTGGAAGAGATTCAACACTGGCCTAGTGGTAAACCAGATGCCTACTTTCAGCCTTATGTAGTCTTAGGGTGCACTAAGAATCCTGGAAACTACATTTGGAAAGAGAGTACAAAGTTAAAACAATAAAGAAGGACTTCTCTATATTAGAACCATATGAGAGCTTGCAGCAAAAAACAGACCTCAACCTGACTTAAGTGGAAGGGAATCATATTAGACTTAACAACAGAAGTCAGTGATGGGCATAGGTTAGTGCAAGAGACAAAACTGTGTCATGAACACAGATTCTTTCTCTGCCATGCTGTGCTGGTTTTTCTGAATGGACTTCAATCTTAGGCAGGGTCTCTCATCATGGTGGCAAGGAACCTGCAGCAGCTGTAGTCTTATGTTTTTCAACACTAAATCTAATGGAAAGAGATAATTCTAAAAAAAAAAAAAAAATACCAAAATTGAGTTTTACTGACTCTTGTTTGGAAACATCTTGAGAACCAGATAGTGTAAAATTCACTTGGAATTTCAACAGGACTTAGTATAGGACCTCATACATGATAGACATTCAAAAGTGCCTATGAAATGAATGAATGAATCAATCTTCTATCTATCCATAAACATTCCTTGACACATATAAAAACAACCATTGATTTAACAAGACCACTAGAAAAAGGAATTGTGGCAAAGTATCTTTTTTTATTATTGCAAGAGAGTAAGTCAGTGATAAATTAATTTTAGCTCAAGTTTGTTGTGATCAACACATTGTATGGAAGTACATTTTTCCTGGGAGAGTTGTTGGTTTATCTTGCCTTTCTCAAAGATTCCAAGAAGGCTAGCAGTGAGAGGTGAGAAGACATTTCCTCAAAGATAATCTGATTACTACAAAGGACTACTTTAGGTAACAAAGCCCAGGGAGTGCCTCGACCGGAGGGAAGACAGAAGAAAACTAGTAAATAATAGAGGGAAGGAATCCCTGAAAAGAGCAGAGAAGGACACCAAGCCAGAGTCAAAACAGACCCAGGAACTTGGCAGTGGGGATGACTCAAATTTCCCCACTCCCTGCATATGAGACCTTGAGAAAGTTTCCTAAAATGTCCAAGTCTTTTTTTTCACCTAGAAAATGAGACAAACTATAGCTACTTGCCCGCTTAGTTAGTATCAGAGAGTAGTCCAAGTTCAAGGTTGGCAGAGTTGGTTTCTTCTGGCTTCTCTCTTCAACTTATAGATAGTCATGTTCTTGCCGTGTCTATACCTGGCCATCCCTCTGCACCAGCACATCTCTGATGTCTCTTCTTGTGTCACCAGTCATATTGATTAGGGCTCACCCTAGCAATCCCATTTTAACTTAATTACAATGAGAGGCCCTAGCTCAAAATGGATCAAAGACCTAGAAAACGGAGGTCAGGGAGATAGTTCAATGGCGTAAGTGCCTGCCTAGCAAGTACAAGGTCCTGAGTTCAATCCCCAATATAAAAAATGACAAAACTAAACAAAAAAGGGGGATACAAATGAAAGACCATTTTTAGTAAAAAAATATATATATATGTACATACAAAATAGGATAGATATACTGCTACTTTCTCTTAGTTCAATGAGAAGATTTGTACTAATAGTGTTTAGACAAGATATCATGTCTGCATCTTGTGCTCTGAATAACTACTACAAAGACAACAGTATGCAATATATTAATTATTGAAACTGCTACTAACCTGTTTTGAAATTGTCTCATTGCTATTTTTTCTCAATAAAATCAATAAAAATAAAAATAAATAAATATGAAAACAGAAACACTAAACCTTTTAGAAGATAGAATAGGTACAACTCTTGAAGACATTGGAGCAGACAAAGACTTTATGAACAAAACCCTAGTCATGCAAGAACTATCACAAAGAATCAATAACTAGGATCACATCTTACTAAACATATTTTGCAGAGCAAAAGAAACTACCAAGATAGTTAAGAGACAACCTCCAGAGTGGAAAAAATATTTTCCAACTGATCCTCATACAAAAGACTACTCTTTAGAATATATAAAGAACATCAAAAAAGATCAGAACCCCCCCCAAAAAAAATTTAAAGACCCAACCCAGAAATGGGCATCTGCAATGAATACACTTTTCAGATGAAGAAGGAGAAACAACCAATAAACATGAAAAACTACTCAGCACCACTGGTCATTCGAGAGATGCAAATTAAAACAATCCTGGGGGTGGGCATGATGGCACACAATTAGAATACCAGCACTTGGGAGGCTGAGGAGACTTCAAGGTCAGTCTGGACTACAAAGTGAGTTCTACGCCAACCTAAAGTATATAGTAAAACCTTGACTCATAAAGACAAAAAAGAAAACAATGCTAAGATTCTGTCTCACTCCAGAAAGAATTGTTTTTATCAAGAAGTCAACCAATAACAAATACTGCCAGGGCTGTGAGGAAAATGGAACCCTTTCTCCACTGTCCATGGAGTTGTAGACTAGTGCAACCACTGTGGAAATCAACGTGGATTTAAAAAAAAAAAAACCTGCAACTAGAGGTTCTATTCAACCCAGCTATTCTCCTTCTTGGAGTCTTTCTGAAAGAATTAGAAGCATCATACCCCAGTGATTTATGCATATCTATGTTTATTGTGGCACATTGTGTAGTAATTAAATCTTGGAAACAGCCCAAATGCCCATCAACCAATGAACAGATTTTTTAAAATGTGTTTTGTTTTTTTTTTTTTTAACATAATGGATTATCTCTCAGCAGATAGATAGATAGATAGATAGATAGATAGATAGATAGATAGATGGTTTGTGTCTAGTTGTCCCCAAAGCCTCATGCAGTCATGGGGCAGGGACTTCTGGAGTCTGAGATTAACTCATGATCCACTGGGATTATGGGTCTTAGTGCAGCTGGGATTATG